ATTTTAGTCATCGAAGTTGATTGTTAAATTTGTCAATTATAATTTCTTTTGTTTTTTTAGCATGGATTCGCATTAGTCAATTCAATCTTCAACATTAAAGACTAAATTAGTTAACAGCGGTCAAAATGAAAAAGCAAGTCAATTAATTTAGCAATGAATTACGTTAACAAATGATAATATGTCTATTTTTTTTTCATAAAAATTAGTTATTAATATTTTTTTCTTAATTATAAGAAATAAAAATTTATTTTTAAATATAATAACTGCTATTTTTTATATTTTTATTTATCATAAAATTTACATAAAGAAAATATATTTTTTTCTAGATTATATATCTTCTGTTTAAAGCAATTTTATTTGATCTAAATAAGAATGCTATTATTCAATGTTTATATAAATAGATATATTTGTTTATTTAAAATGTAAATTGTCAATTTGATCACTTAATATATAATAATTATTAGTTTATTATTAATGGAGCAAAAGTCTAATTTGAAAAGCTCAATTAGTAAGAAAATTTGCACAATGGTTAACTTATCTAAACATATAATGAATGTTAACTATCCTAATGAAAAAAACAGCAACTTAATTTCTTTAATGATGGAATACATCTTATGATTAGGAGTAATGTTAGAATTAACTAAGGTTATGGTTAACTTTCCATTTCAACTAAAACACCCTCCAACTTGAGGTCTTCAACTAACCTAAGTCCCATTAAAAGTGCCTACAGCTCAAACTAAATGACAAAACAATGACCCAACTTTTTTATAAAGCCAACACAAAATCTACCTTGATTATGCCTTCATATGAAGCCAGTCCCTGAGCACCATAAACCAAGTCATCCGTATTAAGCTTGAAGCATTGGAACAAGGGAGGGATCTAACCAAACCTTTCTTCATTAGTTACTAGTTTTACATGAGCAACTTTCTAAAGGAAAATTTGATCCTTTGAGGTTTCTGCTATTTTCAAATCAGACTAAATAACGCTGTCTGGGATAAGGAAAATTTTCTAAGTTAAAAAATCATCTTGAAGGAAACTACATTTCAACAAGTTTTGAGGGTCAAGAAGGAGCCAAAGATAAACCTGAACATAAGAGAATATTGGAAGATCTTTGGTTTTAATTAAAAGGAATACATTTCGAGCTATTTTAAGAGATTTTTGTCACATTGTTGATTTTTCTCTAAACTGCTTGAAAGACGAGAAAATATTCTAAGACCACAAAACTAAAGGCTTTTTCGAGAAGTTTTGAGGAGTTTTTAAGTCACTGACACCAAAAAACTACTTGAAAAATAGAACTGGCAAGAAAATATTCCAAGTCCACAAAACTGATGGTTTTTCGAGGAGTTTTAGGAGTTTTTAAGTCCCTAACACCCAAAGCTGCTCGAAAAACAGGACTAACAGGAAAATATTCTAAGTCCACAAAAAACTGATGGCTTTTCGAGGAATATTTGATGAGTTTCCAAGTACCTGTCACCCCAAAACTGCTCGAAAAGCAGGAAGTGGTAAGAAAATATTCTAAGTCCACAAGCTTGGCTGAGTTCCAGATTTCCTCTAGAATTGCTCGAAAAACAAGAAGTGGTCAGAAAATATTTTAAGTCCACAAATCTGGTCGAGCTCAAGAGTCCCTCCAAAATGGCTCGAAAAACAGAAATGAGCAAAGAAAATGTTCTAAGTCCACAAGACCCAGACAGACTCTCAAAACTCCAGAATGGCTCGAAAAGAGAAGTCAAGAAGAAACTATTCCAAGGCCATAACATTAAAAGAGTTTTCTAGGTTTCTCTCAGAAATACTCGAAAGATAGGAGTATTGAAAAATCCAAAAGCGGTTACCAGTAGTTATCAACATTCACCACTACGCAAAAGAGATCATGGGCGATAGCGGTTACAACAAACAGCACGATCACAAGCAATCGTGGATAGTGAGCATCAACAGTTGAAGTCAGTTACTAAGAAGTGCCTGCAAAAGGAGGAAAACGGTGGTGATATTCATGTCTATAAATACTACAAAGCATTATTTCACAAAGGACGACTTTTTGCACCCAGACACCACACCTAAACACTCTGAGACGCTGAAACTCTGCACCGCGCCAGACACCAGCTGCAAGGAGACCTACGGTGGCCGTTGTTCGCCATTGTGAGGAGTCGTACGTTTACATTCCAGCACCTTTACATTCCTACATTTACCTTTCTGCATTTTAATTTCAGTTCTTGTTACTTATGTCTTTGTACGTTGTTTAGTTCCGGCTTGCTACATTTCTGTAAAAGCATCTACGTTTGATTTAATTGTGCACATTTATTATTCACTATTCTTGCTTAATACTCTTTTACGCCGTTAATCTGAGCATCACGTTAACAATACACTTAAAAGAACCCAAAGAGGACCTAAATCCAGTCCCCAGATTGATCTTTGGATTATTTGTTTACAACTGTCATTTTTCACCGTAAACAAACGCATAATAATCACAATCAATATCATTATCTAAAAGATTATAAGCAGAATATGAAGAAAAATTCTCATTAGAAGAAGGAAACCAGCTAGCCACATTTGAGCCAACATTAATTCTAAGGATAACCAAATTGTTTAAAGCCTGTTTAGTTTGGCCCATAATATAGGGAGAAATTTTTTCCTAGCCTCAATCATTGTTCGAGATGAAACAAACCACTAAAAGGTTTAACACAGATTCTGGAACATTAGGATTTAAATCTTTGAGGAATCTAATACTAAGAATCCAAAAATCTTCCCCGAATTCGGTTTTGAAACCATTGACTAAAATCTAAAAAGACCTTTTCTTAAGCTAGTTCAAGCATTACACATCTCTTTCCAACTAGGGAAGTAGACCTTGAGTAGAGAATAATAAGATCATAATTTAAATTAAATTTATATTTTGCTAAAAAAATCATAACCCAAAGATTGTTAGGACCATTGATCATCTGCCAACCTAGTTTCATCATCTAAGCTATATTAGTCTTATGAATGTCCTTGAAACCTAAGCCTCCTTAAGATTTGAGTTTACAAATTTTTTTCTATACTATTAAATGACATTTCTTATTATTGGGAGAAGAACCCCATATAAAATTCCTATAATTTTTATTTATTTAATCACAAATGCCTATAGGAATTAGGTGAGGCTTCATTATATAGTTGAGAATACTTATAATACTAGATTGAGATAAAGTAATTTTTCCTGCAAAGAAAATCGACTTGACCTTCTAATTAATCAAAATGAACAAAAAAAGCTATGAGATGAGAAGAAAGTACATGGAAGAATTCAATGAGGATGAAATAGCAACAATTGAACTTCTTGAGATTATGCAGCAAGAAAAAGTTCTACATAAGTGGTATGAAAATCTTTTTGGCAACAACAAAGACGATAAACAACCAATTGTGAATGTCAAAGAATCTCAAGAATTTGATGAAGAGTCATTGTCACATTCAACAACAACTATGCTGGAAGATGACAAAGATGTCTAAGAAGAGGAAGATGAATTGAAAGAAAGGTTATCACCAACGATGTTGTTCAACATTTATTCACAACAAAATCTCAGCCACTTAGAGTATGATCACCCTTAAGATTTGCCATCTATTCAAAGTCTTGAAGACTATATTTTAGAATGTGGTAAGCTTTTGAAGAAGTGATTAACAAAATGTGATGTAAAAGCAGATCTCAACAGACTTCTACTCAATAAAAATCACGTGATAAATTTCTTCTTACCATTATTGAAGGATGGTGAAAATATTGATGAAGGAATACAAGTTTGTGTATATGATATGGATAACAATGACTACTCTATGATGTTTAAGAAGTGAGCAGGAAAGTACTTTGTGCTTAATGGATGTAGAAGATTTTCTTCCAAAACTATGCATTGTAAACTCATTTGCTGAATTTATAGTCTAGACAATTAAAAAATAGTTTTATTTTGTAAAGTAATGAAACAATTAAAAAATAGAATTTTTTTTTTGTAAAGCTATTCAATTAACTGAACAAGCAGGTGCAAAAGGAGTGTAAGTAGAAATTGCAAAACGTATCAATGAAAAAAAATTGCAGGTGTCAAATAAATCAAAGAAGGTAGGGTTCCTCTGCAAACCATTCAAACTGAAATTGATTATTATTTCTACATAGTTTGAGCTATTTATAGAATAATAGATATCAAAGTTTGAATAATTCATATAAATCTTTCGTCTTTCGTTAACTAACAAAGTGTGATCCACTCTTATTATTAGAATCTCAAAAATAGTTACAGCATGCTAAGAGAACAATGATATATTATATTCTTACTTTGTTATTTTTTAGTATGATTAATTGCTTTGAAGAAAAAAATAATTTTTTAAAACAGTTTAAAATTATCATATAAATACTTTTTATTAATTTTAATATATTAGTTATGTATAAAAAAATTTTGGAAGTAATGTTAACTTTATTTCTTTTTGGAACCAAATTAATTTAAAAACATCACAATTAGGAATTAAATTAATCAGGTAAAAAGTCAAAGACAATTTATGGATAATCATATAATTTCAGAGATTAAGTGAACGTTGTACGCGGGATTTCGACATGTTTAAACACAAGCTATGAGTTGCCCAGAGTGTTTTGCATGCTTACTATGAGGATTCCGCATATTTTGCCTTTTCTTTGGGTGTTGAGATTTTGGCGCAGGAAATAAGTTTAAAAGCTATTTGAATTCGTGAGCAAATTCATTTTTTTTAGTCTGTATATGTTGAAAAAATAAATTTAACGGATTTATTAAGCCTAAATTTTTACAAAAAATAAAGTATTTGTTATATTTTTAAAATAATAAAATTTTAATATAACTATTTATTCTCAATCCTAAAAGTTACCATTAATACTTATCTAAATTTAAAAGGCATCTGTGTCAAATGTATTTTTTATGCCAAAAAAAGTGTTAATGTTTGATGCGAATAAGAGCGATTAAAATTGGAAATGGAAGAGAGGCGTTGAAAATGTGGTTGAATTTGGGTGGCGCATGCATGTGATGTAAGCACTGTGGAAGCAGACCCCACTGTTGTGCAACGCGGGAATCAATCATTCCTTTGACTCACCGCCCCTTCATTCTCATTCATTCCATTACTCTTCACAATCGCACGCTTTCTTTTATTCTTTTCTCTAATCTCTAATCTCTAATCTATAATCACTAATCTTAATCTTCAAAAGTGGGTATTTCAATTCCGTTTTTGTTTTCCCTTTTATATGTTATTCTTCTGTTGCTGATGCGTTTTGTTTGGAGCTTCCAGTGTATCCAAAGGTGAAGGTAAGGCAGGAACCGGACGAAGACGATGCTGATGTTCGGTATTTGGGTTTGAAAGCTTTCCTCTCTTTATCCTTGGATGCCTCACCTTCTCCAGGTATTTCTATTTTTCAACCATTTATTTTTATTTTATCTTGGTGGTTTTAATTTACAATCAAACCGTATAGTCTATGAGTGATGAATTGTCAGTTATATTTTAGACTTTACGGGAGAGTTAGTCCTTGAGATGCCATCAAAGCTTTTTGATAGGAACTGATTGTACTATAGAATTTAAAGAACAAACGCAGGGAATAACCCTGGTAGTACAAACAAATAGAATGAGATTAGATTCCTCCTATGGCAGCAGCCACCCTGAATAACCTCCTTGATAATCCCTGCCTCTGCCCTCTGTCCAGCCTCCATATATCCCCTCTCCTCAGCTGCCTCTCTCCTCCCTCTTTCCTTCCACGTATGCTAATTTATTAGGCTGTTAGAATCTGGCCTAACGGCCTCCTTGCTCAACTTTCCCTTTTTACCCCTCCTTTGATATGTCTTTAGTGGGGGTCCATTTGGCTTAGACCCAACACTTTTATAATCAAGTGCTGAAGAAATTGATCATTGCTGATATGAGCTCTTACTATGTTGCCTTTAGAATCTGGAGTGCTTTGATACTACAATTTGAATAAAGGGAGGAAGTTTATTCTACCCGTTCCACAATTGACAAATTTTAAATAAAAATATTAACATCAGCCTTTAGGGTTAATTTTAGGTGTATAAAAAGAATAAATTTTTACTAGAAATGAAAGTATTTATAACACTTTTATATTTTTAATGTAAAAAATGTTTTTTTTCCCAATAAAAGTATACTGATTTTAGATGCTTAAATTAAAATCAGCTCTAAGAGTTGATATTAACAAAATTGACTATTTCTCTTTATATTGCCTTGATTCTCTATATTGATATTGATGCCTAACGCTGAATCTTAAGGAGGAGGTAACCATTGGCCTTTGCTTAAACTTTAAACCTCTGAAAAATGAAATCCATAACTTGCAATGACTTTCTCCTTTTCTGTGGACTGACCTTGTGAGTATGCTCTAGATGCTCAACTCTTGTTCTGCAATTGGTCAAGAATGCTATTTACTCCAAAAACAGGGAAGATATTTGATGCAATAATTGGGGTAGTAACCACATGGATGAAAGATGCTGTTTTCCTTTCCTTTTCCATCTTGTTAGTTTTAGTTTTGCACTATCATTTTGGCCTAAGTTTGGAGAGCGAGACTGCAATTTTATATTTATAAATGTGTTGATGTCATTATGTTAAATATTTTTTCTTTTGATTGAATACACAAACTGGTTAGCAGTTGGGAAAACTGTTGTGGATTATTATCTATCCTATATTTCCATTCACTTTACTGGTATATAATCACTATTGTCTGATTCTACAGTAGTGGACCAGAAAGTTGTCTCCATGCCATCTAGCGATGAAGTACCAAAGTGTTACGTGCCTCATGTACCTATTCCAAGAGTACATGTAACTGAAGATTCTGGAGATTTCAGTTCGACACCTGATTCTTCAGGAGGTACAGGACCTGAGAAGGATGACAGTACTGATGAAAATAAAATAAATATTAGAGCCAGTTCTATTCCACGCCCTCGTGCTGTCATTTCTAGTCCGGGTAAATCTCATACTTTTTATCAAATTTCTGTTTACTTATATTTATTCATATCTAAGTTGCTTTTTTCAATTGGAAAATCTGAATTTGGAGATTTACAAAGAGATCATAATAGTAATTGTGCTTTATAATATAGACAAGAGTGTTGTTTTTGATGGGCCTTTAAAGCTGAGAGAAGTACTTGCTTACTTGCGGTAGAGAAGAGATCCTGTTAGAAGATATGGAAGTACTTTTTCTTTTTAATTGTTCATTGAAACTTCTTCCCGAAGGATGCAACCTCATTCATAAAATGAGCTTTCAGATAAAAAAGAGCAAATTTGAATTACTTCAAAGGTACCAAAACTCAAAACTAAAGCACTTGATATGATTGATAATTTAGATTTGCTTATCAGTCACATGGAAAGAAAACTTGGAGTACTTGAAAGAATATTTCAGGGAAAACTGAATTTATGAGTTTGTGATAGTGACATTTACTTCTGTCAAGAAATATAAAGTAGACAAGTAGTGTTATGTTATTGGGAAGTTGCTTTAGGAGTGTGCCCAATGTAAAAGGTATCAGTCCCCTTTTGTACTTTGTGTAATGGGGAGTCATTGTCATTTAGCAGTATATGTAATTTAACTAGTCTATTTTGTGTTCCCTCTTACTCTGCTTAAATTTTCCTTCTAATCACTGATTCTGAACAAAGGAGGCTTTTTGAGGCATACCACCTTCCGAAGTCCATTCAGTTAGGAGAAATTTAACTTGAACAATATAGATGCTTGCAGTTTGTATCCTCATCTACGATTCCTAGAACAGATCTAAATGTACATTTATTTGAGAGGAATGTGTCTGTGGCTCTATGTGTTGAAGATATTTGTTGGAAGCAGAGCATTTCAACCACAAAGACATATAATTGAGGTTCAAAAGGGATTTTTTTTTAACTAAAACTCATCTATTAAACCCCTGTAGTGCTATGTATTGCAGAAAATTTCACAATTACAAAGTGAAATCTCCAAATAACAAGGGTAAAAGCCTATTCTGTCAGAATTTTCAAGTTAGCAAACCCTGATAATACTTTTGGATTATTATTTTATGCAACGGGACCCGTGTTTTCTTGAAATTTTTTAGTCTTCATCATTTCCCTATTCTGAAACCTGAAGAGTATGTTATATATAAGTTGGTTTTCCATCTTTCTGTTTTAAAACGATGCACATTAACAGTGCTTCAAAACCTATGGTGTACCTAAAGTGAGAGTATTGGATCTTTAGATATCAGTCACATGGTTCTGATCACGCATAAGAAACCTAAAATATTTTAAATAACTTTCACTTCTGGCTGATGGAGAAGAAAAGACAAGTCAATTGTTTGTTTTACAACGCCCAAGAATAAAATACTTTAGCATGGAGGATTGGATAGTTGTAATTATTGAGAGCACCATTAATCATGTTCTGTGCTGATTCAAGTTCTTTGTTTTGAGATATGAGATATCTATGTTCAGGGTAATTCCCACAGAGCTGACCACCAAGTTCTGTCTCAATTTTGTATTCAGAGAATGACATAATGATCGGGAATATAAACAAGACTAGGGATGGAAGACTCTCTGCTTCGAAGAATGGCGCTGCGTTACACAATCGGCATGCACATTGTAAAGTTAAATCACATGGCGTTACTGATATTCCTCCAGACACAAGAAAACACAAGGAGCCTGGGTCTAAGGATAAAATTGATCCTGTAGGAAAGAAAAAGGTCCATAAAGGCAGCATAAAATCTGAGAATGCGCCTAGGAACTGGAAATTTTAGTTCTGTCATAACCTAGGAGCATGACTAGTTACCAGTTTACTGGCAATCAAAATGTATTTTTGATCTTAATCTAGGACTAGGTTCCCTCCCAATGAAAAAAGAGAGAATAAAATAGTGCATGCTTTGATGTAACCATGCCGGCATATTTAGTACTTTCTCACCAATATTTTTAATGTTAACTTGATGTGTGCATGTAAGAGTCTTTAAGGAAGAAGCCAATGCCTGAAAAATTTAAGATTTTTGTAAGATTGTTTAAGGAAAAAGATTCAACGGGTGAGATATCATATACCAGTGCTCCATGGATGTCATGTGTATAAAAAATGAATATTTGGGAGGCAACACATGGAGCTTATGAAATTTATACTATATGTGTTCAGATTAAAAGACTCCTTAAGTGGATCTAGAATGTCATGGGTGCTGCTCATTTTAGCTATATTATTTGCATTAGACAGCCTAAATATATTTTCTTGAAAAAAAAAAAAGAGGCTCTGATGAAAGAAAAAATGCTGAGAAAAAAAAAGTCAGCGCTTAACAGCAATGGTGCTTAAGTACCAAAACGTATGTTGAATCTAGCTAATTTTTAATGTAGCATGTGTATCCTGGTCGACACTGTCTATGAATCTCTTGTAAGCAGGTTCTAAGAATCTGGACAGAGATAGCAAATACAATAAAAAATAATAATTCAGAGCATCGTATATTCCATCTTATAAGTAAATCTCATTTCAAATTTAAACTACTAAAATAACACTTTCATGATATCTATGATGCACACGAAATTAAATTAGTTTTTGAGAGATGAAATCTATTTTATTAATTTTTATATTTTGAAGAAATTAGTCTTTAGTTCTTCGCTAAGAAATATCTATGACGCACACGAAAGAAAAAATAACACAAATAACATCTCAACCAATATTGGTAAATTATAAGCCAACTTGTTAAGCCAAAAATGATTGGTTATAGTGGAAGTGAATTATAATTCCAAACAAACTTTTGTCATAATTTATTTTGTGACTTTGATAAAAATGTCTTATCCTATTTTTTCCTTCATATTCATTATTCATCAAAGATTATTGTTAATATTTAACACAAAACATGTATAGTAAGAAAGGAGAAGAAATAAAAAAAAAATTAACAGAATTATAAATAATATTAAAATAATAAAATAGAATTTATATAATGAAGTAATAGAAAAATAAACCAGTATAGCAATTTTACATATCAAATTATACAAGCATGAATTTAATAATTATTTCATAAATAAAATTTTTATATTTGCTCATAAATTAGACTTGAATTGGATTGAATTAATTTTGAAAATTGGCTTTGAAATTCAACTCTATAATAAAATTTGATATTTCGTTTTTTATGCTTTGATTTTTTAAGTAAAAAATTTTGATATATTACTACAAATATTACTGAATTTTTTAAAATAAAAATCAACCTTTTATGTCAATAATTAATGTCAATTTTAATTACTGAAAAGAAGACAACAATTATCTAGATAAAAATGTTATTTTGATTGGAGAATAGCGTGAAGCTGAAATACTGTATAAGGTTGTATTAGATTGAATTGATTCATTAACATTCTTACAGAAAAACAATGTAGCAAAAGAAAAAAAAATGTTTATATTTACAATTATAATTGGCACAGTGAAGAGGTTTGTGGAAGAAAGAGATTGCGGGGGATGCCTAAGAAAAGGGACAAAGGCGGAACATTCTGCTTTCTCCAGCAATATGATACCAACAACACAGTCCCAGACAAAACTAAAACCCTGCACAGCACACCACAAACAACGTTAAAAAATAAGAAAAAGAAAAGTGAAAAAAAAAAAAAATCTTTTCGTCAAAATTCACTTTCTCTCTCTCTCTAAAAAGGTTCCCTCTGCATTTTCTCTCTCTAAAACCTCACCCCCTAGTTGTGGTGCAGATCTCAAGGGGGCATTTGGGATCTGAGGTGAGGTTTTGATTGGGGAGGGGACAGAACAGTTCCTTTTTAGGGTTTTCTACAATGGCCATTCCCCTCTCCGCTGCTCAGGTTCACCTCTTTTCTTTCATACCCTCTTTGTCAACCGTTTTGTTTAACCTGAAAAAAGTAACCTTTTTTGGTGGGTCTTTTCTTCAGGTTGGGACTTACTTTGTGGGGCAGTACTACCATGTGCTCGAGACCAAGCCAGAGTTGGTGTACCAGTTCTACTCTGATGCCAGCACCATGCTACGCATCGATGCCAACGCCAGGGAAACTGCTACTGCAATGCTGGTAATTTCTATTCTAAGTTGAATTTTGTTTTTCATGCGGCATAATAGTAATAGTGGGGTTAGTTATAGAAAATGATAGTATAGACATTATTAAAAATTTATTATTTGGAGTGTATTATTGAACAGTTTCAATTTTTCTAGCTTTCTCTTGTGTAGTGTATAATCTTTAAATAGTAGTAGGCAAGCCTTCTTGGGCACTTTATTAGAATGTTTGTCAGAGATAAAATGATAAGGGTTGTGATTTCTGTTTCTGACTTCTTTTAAGGTGCTTGCTACGTTTAAACTTTAGAGGGCATTGTATAACCTCACTAAATTGACTGTTGTGATTTCTCTAATGTTTTAAAGATTAAAGAATATTTATATTTTTTTAAAATAAACTACTCTATTAACATAAAATTAAATTGTTCTAACCGTGAGAAGGCATAGAATGTCCTCTTGATTTACAAGATACAGTAGAAATTACCTTCTTTTAATTTATTGGTTGTTTGAAAGGAGGGACCGTTTTCTTCTATTTATATTTGTGTAATTATAGTAAGTCTCTTATTTTCCCCCAGAATTAAAGAAATTTCTCTATGGGCAGCAAATCCATGCGCTTGTTATGTCGCTTGGATTTATGGGAATTGAAATCAAGACAGTGCAGTCTCTGGAATCTTGGAGTGGTGGTGTTCTTGTGATGGTTTCTGGTTCTGTGCAACTTAAGGACTACAATTTGAGGAGGAAATTTATGCAGACATTCTTTCTTGCACCCCAAGAAAAGGGTTTCTTTGTGCTCAATGATATTTTTCACTTTGTTGAAGAGGAGTCGGTTCATCATCACCAAACAGTTTTTTTAGCACAGAGCAATCTTGATTCAAAATTGAATGCTCCTTCCACAATTAATAAACCTGGCAAGTTCTGCTTCAGCCTCAGGGTTATTTTGATTGAATCTTATGAGTATTGCTTCACTTATTAATTACTGTAATTAGAAGATAAACAAAAGCTAAGATATTGTTCTGCTGATATACTTTCTTAGAAGTTAGGTCTTTGTGACTTTGTGTCTTTCTATGGCCATGGGTGCTTCCTGATCTTTTATGTGGATTGTGGATCTGATTTTTGTTTAGAATCTGACCTAGACTGTTAGTCTAGTGTTCTTTAGTTATGTCTTGCATGTCCCAGAGAATCTGTTAGTTCCTATCTTATGTTATGTCAGAAAACTTAAGTTAATGAACTTGTGTTTATTCATTTATTCTTTAATATATTTTTCACATCCATAGTATGTGGCACTAGTGATGCATTTGTAGCTTGTTAATACAGGGCTATGTTTGTTGTCTATGTACTGTCAATTTGTTGTATTACTATTTTCTACATCATTGTCAGTCATCTACTGCCACCAGACTTTATCACATTAACAACTATATCCTTGCTGTTAACAAATTGAAACTTAGCATTTACTTTCAATGGTAAGAGCAGAGATATTAATTTCTTGGACTTGATATCAAAGAGTTGCTGGCTTAATAAATCATAGCCTTATATCCATGTGAATATTGCAATTGCAAGTGGTTGGTGGTATTTTTATTTTATAATATAAAATTAAAAGCGAAGTTTAATTGCACAATGCATTTATTGATGATATATATTTGTAGAAAGAATATATATGTGTGTGTGTGCGCACGCGTTCGCCTGTGTGTGTATATGTGTATGTGTATTCAACTGCTTGTACTTAATGAGAAATTTAGGGTTTATAACTATTATGGCTGATTATGAAGTATACTTGACCTTTGAAACTGTAGATTAAAATAATTGAGATCTATGTTTTACAGTGTCCAACTACCTGTTGGGTGGAGATATACAGGCAAGGGATTTTGTTGCCACAAATGAGGTCAAAGAAAATGGTTCAGTCAACAATTATGGATTTTCAGAGCAACAAATGCAGCAAGTCCATGATCATGAACATATTCAGGAGGATGTTGTTGCTGAAGATTCACATGGTTCACTTCAACCTACTGTGAATGCTGTGCAAGACCATATGCCTTCTGCTGAAGAACCTCCTGAGGAGCCCCAAAAACATACTTATGCTTCCATTGTATGTGTGAACTAACTAATAAATTACTTTCCAAACAATGTTTTTTGAGATTCAGATATGACTTTAGAGCTGACTATGTTATGAAACTGTTGGAAGTTACGGGTTGCTAAAGGACAAGCTACACCCTCTGTAGCTTCTCAACCATCTCAGAAGAATGTGTCTTCGTTGGAGTGGGATCATGCTCCACCAACTAGTAGTCAGCAAACAATAGCATTGACTAATGCATTTGAAAGGTCTGAAACTGATGTGGTGGAGGAGGTTCCTACAACAGAAGAGGAAGGTTACGGTGTGTACTTGTTGAGACTCATTAATTTAGTTTTTCATTTAATTCTTTTGGATAGTGTGAATACACATTTGGCAGCTCATTGCGTCTTCCTTTTACTAATAAGCTAATTTTTTTTACAAGAATCCTTCTCTTGTCTGTAGTTCTTATTTTTATGATGTACTCATTTGTTAGTACCACATTTTTTATTTGATTGAAAATGCTTTCAGATGAAATTAAATCTGTTTATGTGAGAAACTTGTCACCTACTGTGTCTGCTTCTGAAATTGAAGAGGAATTCAAGAATTTTGGTAGGATACGGCCTGACGGTGTTGTCATAAGAAGTCGCAAGGTAGGTCTTTACATCTTCCAATAACTATATTAGTTCCTTAATTTATTTACATCCCATTACAAAGATGATTTTTCACTTGTCTCCAGGATGTTGGAGTTTGCTATGCATTTGTTGAGTTTGAAGATATGACTGGCGTTCATAATGCAGTCAAGGTATGGAACTATGGCTTATGTTTTAAATGATTAGTTTTATGATATTGATATATATTGCTCATGAGTTAATAATTGTGATGCAATAATAACCCTTCTCGAGAAAATAATTATGTTGGAAAATGCTAGTTGTTCACAATAATCATGACTTTTTGAACTAACAGACTCGAGCTGTTTCTGATCTTGTGTAGTTTTAAGTTTCACCTTATGAGTTACTGTTTCCATGGAACCATGATCCGATTTCATATGCTGTAGAGTGTAGACTCAGGCTTGTTTTGTATGTTTTATAGGCAGGATCTGTTGAAGTAGCAGGAAGACAAGTATACATTGAGGAGCGGAGACCAAACAGTAACATCCCTTCCCGAGGAGGAAGTATGCCTTTTTTTAAATTTTTCATAATTTTTTCTTTATTTTTTTCTCAAAATTTCTTTCTTCTATATCGTTGGCTGTTGAAATATGTAATACATAGTTAAAATACTGCCAGTTTGTAAGGGAGAGAAGAGTTGATAGGACTGGTAATGGATTTTCAAATGACAGTTCTGAAGAATTACAAATAAGCTAATATATGCTAATTTATGGTTAAGGGTCATATTATGTTTACCTTGGAGTGTGTTAACTTCATGTTACAACTCCTGTTGGCATCATTTCACATTTTACTGGGCTTTCTCAAGTGACATGGACCGAGATATATTATTATATGATTTGACCCACGTAACGCTTCATTCGATTTTATCTTATCAATTATCTAAAATGATACTTTGTCTAAGGCCTAAGCAGAATTTTTGCCCCAAAAGTATCTTTGTTTTTTTTATCTCCATAATTAAACTGTTAGTAAACCATTTTTCTGTTCTGTTATTCTTGTTCTCACTTTATTATCAACAGGGAGGGGTAGAGGCAGGACTAGCTATCAAACAGAAGCACCAAGAGGGCGTTTTGGTTCAAGAAGCTTTGGCAGAGGAATTGGTCAAGATGGAGGTGAACGGGACTATAACAAACCTAAAGGAAATGGTTTCTATAGACCCAATACTCGTCAAGAGAGGGGGTATTCTGCGCATCAAGTCCCAAGAAATGGTCAGAATTTTGCTGAATCAACATAAAAATTTTACCAAGAGAATCAATTTTTTTTTAGTCCAGATATTTCAGCTCTATATAGTTTCAATAGATGTAAGAACCAAATATTGATATTTTTTCAAGTCTTAAATTTGGGGAATATGATTGTTAATTTTTGTTTTTATGTTAGGGGTTTCTTGTTTCATTTATTTCTTCAGGAATTTTTAGTTGGCAATGTGTTTGAAACATTTGACTGTTGTTCTCACCATTATATCTGGTTATTTCAACATCACTTCAGAGTTTGATTACATGATATTGGTGTAATAATTATATATCGATTCCAGGTCTTTGGCTTTGCCTTCCTCGTTACCTTTATTCGCCGTATCATTTTAATTGATGCATATTATTGTAGACTTACAGGAACAGTTATATACTTTCTTGGAGGAAATATGCAAAGTAATAAACAGTAATAATATTTTAATTTTTAAAATTAAAAACTGTATTCATTATTTACTATACTTGTTAAAAACGTGTAACTTACAAGTGTTAATGTACGATATCACATTGATTCATTATTCCTTCAATAATAATTTAATTAACTAAAGGACCAATTTGACCTTGACCAATAAACAGATAAAATATAATGTGTATTCTAAAGACCAAATTAATTAATTAGCTTTTTTGTTAGTTTATATTCTCTTGATATCCATTTTCGATTGTGTAGTGTCAACCTGTTTATATTGCTTTGGGGCCTACTCTACAACTGATCTCCATTTTGTTCATTTCTTTGATTTTTTTCTCTTTCGTAGTTTAGTTGTAAGAATAAAGTTTGATACAATTAACAAATAATTCTTAGTAGTAACGGATGGTTACATCTTTTCTGTGCAAAGTTGTAACATGAGTATGCTGATTTGTAACTTCGTCTATGTAATTGCATTGTAATGTTAACATAGTCGAAAGTGAAATTTTACTTTTATCTGAATTTAAAGCCTCTCGTGCTATCAAGTAACATGATATAGATATGTTACAAAGAGAAAAGTAATTTTTATTAAACAACGACCTATTATTATTGGTGTAAAACTCAATGATTAAATTTCAATAAAAATTATATTTTCCTTTTTAACATAATCATATCATCTTAATGAAATAAGAGAATCCAAATCCATGCCAAAAAGGGTAGAGCATAATTGCCTTCGTTGTGTCTTTATTTCCCTTTTTCTTGTACACATGTTGTGGGTACATGATCAATGCTGGTTGCATCACATGCAGTAAATGTTCAGGACTATGTTTTCTAGAATTGTTTATCCTCTGTTTGACTTGTATTGATCCTAGTTAGTGTTCAAATAGTCAATTTTAAACATTAGCATGGGTGGACATCATCGTTATTCGTTGGACAGAGACACACAAGGTCATTAACTAGACAGGACATACTCTCAATGACTGCACCACTACTCAGGGAAAGGGATTTCTCGAACTTGGCAAGCATTTAACCTAATCATAAGTCATTTCGTAAGCGATTCTTGTCTCTTTCTGCAAGTTATTCTAGAAATATGAAAACTTCAGCCAAAAAAATACATTTAGTAAAGAAATATGGTTTTCTTTATTCTGAACGAGCTAAGCTTGCTGCTTCCTTGTATTGATTGTGTATGGTTTTCTTTATTCACCTATAACTTTGAGCATTTATTTGCACCTTCTTTAGCAATCTGTCTCGAGAATTTGCATCAGTCATGGAATTGTCCAGCAGCAGATCTCTTGAACATGGCTCTGCCTTTAAATTTCAGCTTCCCCCGTCTTCTGTTTCCCAGAGAAAGCAGGTATATGCTGCAAGAACATTGCTGCAAGCAGAGAAGTGGTAAACAATAGGATCTTAATCGAGTAACGGGTGTGTTTGGAATAGTTCATGGACATTTTATGAAAATAACTCGTGATTCTTATAAGCTTTTTATAGTTTATTCCAATAACTTTCGTGGTCAAACTTATGGCCCAACTACTTTGTAAAAAAGCTTATTGAACAAGGACTTAATTAAGCTGTGTACCCAAACACACTAAATCTCGAGAGACTTTTCGGGAAAAGTTATTGAATGATTTTGCAAGGTCAGAGTATAAATGATGACTTAAAAAGTTAGGAACTTAAGTTACTCAAGCTTACAATTTTAGAAACTAATTTGAGAGTTTACTTTATCTTAATTATTAATGTAAAATTTGCTTCTTTTCTAATTCAAAATAATGACATATAAAGAGTCTCATGCATACTGCATTGCAAAGTAGGAATAGATGATTCAATAATACTTTCAAAACAGGATTTAATCTAAATTTAGAAGTACCTGATTACCTATGAATCTTTCTCTTCCATTTTTAAGCGTTATAGATGTGGAGTAACATGACATTTTACATATCCTTAAAGATGTCTCCAAAATTTTACCTATCTCCTGGGGTAGCTTGAATTGCTTGCTCAAATAAAAACGAAGCCTTTTCCAGATCATGATGAAGTTCCCACTCTAGTTTAGCATATTCTGACATTATTTCACCATCACTGGGATCAGCTACTATTGCACGTGAGTAGTAATCCTCTGCTGCTTGAAGATCTCTCTTGGACTGTACAATAATTTAAAGAAAGAAGGGGGAGGACGAATACAATTTTATAAGGCTAAGAATTCTCTTACCATCAACTAAGGAATAATAAATCTATAATCAAGCGAATTCCCATATTTATCGTCGCTCTATAATGAAGATCACACATGCATAATTATATCAAGATAGTCGTCACTAATATGAAGGGGCTAGAGCAAGTCCTGTCCTTGTTAAAAAATTCATTTCAAACCAAGAGAAGCTCAATCAATTAATCATAATTTATCTTTTAATTGTTGCTTGTGCCTATTATTAACAAAGGTCCCATGAAAGAGGCAGGTTGTTTAAAATCATAAACAATTGTTATATCTAAGGATTTTCCTCTCAACAAACCCAAAAATATAATGTTTTAGGAAGAAAAGAGGATAAAAACAGTGGTAACAAGACTTTCTTCTGTCAAAATATTAAGACAGCTCAAGAAGCCTTCATGTGTTAGTCCATACTAAAATTTAGATATAGAAGCATCTGCACATTGTATGCTGATAGAAATGTCGCAGTTAAGGTCAAGTTTCTATCTTTTCTATCCTTTATTAGTTTTCAAGACAATTCAATTTTTATTTTGTTTCGGTGCTCGTAACATACGCTTAAAAGATTGAAATCAATCTTGGTGTTGAATTGTGCCTAAGATAATTCCTAAAAGATGTGATTGTTACTGTGAAGATTAAAATAGAAAAAACTAAACCCTCACCTGAACCAGAAACTGAGCATACTTTTTCAGAAATAAAGGATTGTTTGGATTTTCATCAATCATCTTCTTAAGATAATCTTCAACATTATCGTCTTCACTGCAATTAGCTGTTGTAATATTTGCTGCATCAACCTCTTGTCTGGCTGCAGGGATTGAGAATGAGCTAACTGGGTCACTTTCTTCTTTGGAGGGTTTCTCAGGCTCAGTCTTTTGTTTTTCCATGTCACTCTGCACTCAACTATAAACTGTGAGTATTGAATAACAAATGTGTGTCATTTAGAAGACAAAACATCCCCTTGGGGGAAAAAAATCAAGAACAGAAAAGAAAAAAGCACCTGAATTTCAAGATTTCCACTTTTGTTCTCATCATCTTCTGTTTCCCAGAGAAAACTAGTATATGCTGCAAGAACATGGCTGAAAATGATATGTTACTTTAAACGTTTACTGTTTACTTTTAGTCTTGTCAAACTCAACATTTTGCAAGTTTAAAGAGAAGCTTCCAATTTCTGCAGGCTACAATGAGGTTGAGGAGCAACTTTAAGACCAGCACTAACTGATCATATTTTGAGTCCTTTTAAATGAGTCAAATAGTTTGGCAGAGTGCTTACCTGTCTTGAGGTGCAGCTTGAGCTGCACGTTCAAAATAGACCAATGCTCTATCCTTGTCATGGTGGTTCTCCCACACCAACTTCGCATACTGCATCAAGATTTCACCATTGTTAGGATCCGCTTGGGTAGCACGAAGAAAGTACCCCTCAGCCCCTTGATGGTCTCCATTAGACTAGCAGTAGGTGGTAAGAATTAGATGTCAGCATTTGAGAAGAACTGTAAGGAACATCATGCTTGTCCCAATGAAACTAAAAGATATGATGATTAATAATAGTTTCATAACCATGTAGGTCTCCTAGAAACATAATTAACTCTTACATCAATTTTTTTTTAAAACAATGACTTGTCCTAATGGCTCTGAAATTTTGGATCATACGTGTATTGATTTTATTTTATTTTTCTGTTTCAGTAAATCAATTTGTCTTTATTTATTTAATTTTCCAAGAAAATGTCTAGAAGGAGGGGAGGTTCTCAGCGCTGGATACAGTTTATAAGGACATCTGTAGCAGCTTGCAGTTTTTCCAAATAACCCATTAACTTAGTGAAAATTAATGAAGTCTATACCTCTTAAGCAGCACTTTTACTTTATGAAACACCAGTGACAATAATAAGTTCATGCAGAGTGTGGGGTCTGATTAGTATGTAGCTAGAGCATATAGTTAAGCCCCATGGGATTTATTACATATATGTAAGGTTCAGTGTCTACTGCCCTTATCAATCCAAAACTATAACATGCACTTTATGTCTTTTGTTGAATTGAAGAACATACAAACTAAACTGAAATCTGCACGGATTAATAAGTTTCATCAGAAACGTTTTCTGTCCAAGAAAGCAACTAATTGAAAAGAAAAGAAAACCATAAAAAATAGACAACTCACCTGTAACAGCTGAGCATACTTTTTCAGAATCAAAGGGTGGCAGGGATACTCATCAACCATCTTCTTGTAATACTCTTCAAGATCCCCACTTTCTTGCAAGTTGGGATTAAATATATCATCAATTATAAGGTTATCAGATCCAAACCCAGTTCCATCAGCCCCAAGCCCTGCTGCCAGATACATGGGTGGACTAGCTGGTTCAACATCTTCCTCCTCAATACTCAAATTCTGAATCCCACTTGACCAATCATTATCACTCTCTCCTTCCTCAATCAAATCCATCTTGTTCCTCCCAAAGCTGAACTCGCCACTCTCCGTGCTTTTCAAACTCTTTCCAATCAAAGCACTTCTCTTCAAAACATCTTCTGGGTCGGTGTCATTATCACCATGAGAGTTGTTGTATATTGCAAATGATGGAGCTGAATGCAAGGTTGACTGAAACTCATCCTCCAGTGCTGACTTGAGACTATGAATCTCATCCATGAAGCTAGCAACAAGGTAGTCCAATATCTCTAAGCAGCTATTAGATTGTTAAAGTTCAGAAATCAGAATCATGTATTGCTAGCACTAATATGGAAAGAGACTATGTTCTTGAAAAGTGGGGAAAATGACTGTTTCTAGTTAATCTGCATTTTGGTCCACGCTTTTAAACAATCTTTTGCTTGCTTTAAGTTACGAAGATCCAAATCTAGCAATAGAATCTTCCAATGGAAATTAATAAGACTGAAGATGTATGATATACAAAATATTTTGGGAACCGAAAAAGAGATTACCACTTCGAAACTTCTGGTGAACAACGTGCTAGTTTGATAACATACTATTTTTGAATGGTTGGCTAAGATAACACCGTCAATATCATAGTAAACATATTTATTGTAATTTTTAACATTTTTTTTCAAAGCTATTGTCATAAATTGCCTGAATTTAAGGGCATTAGCATCTAAAAATTATTCAACTTTCTCAACAGTATTATGTGCTCCAGAATCTTTAATATCCTTTCTTGAGTCACCCAGCTGAAGTAAATTTTGATAGAAGATCGGCTTAATAATTTTTTCTATTGCCATTAGATAACATCCGAGTCAATTTTAAAATATCCCAACTTATTTATCTGGTTAGAGGCAAGCGACAAATAATGCAATAGATTTACGATTATTTTTCATATGGTATAAAGTGAATGACATGGTCATATATTCAAAAGTGTAACATAACTAAATCAACCTAGTTAACCGACTAGTATCCTAAGAACATGCACACGTAAAAGCTAATTTTAGTTTTCAATTTCGAGTTATGCGAAAGAAGGTTAAGATATTACCCACAAGAAGCAAGATGAACGTGATTTCGTTAAAGAAGCGTAGGAGGAAAGTCTCTAATCACATGAAAGTAATTAGATTGGTCGTAACTTGTATAAGTCTGCCCTCTACTCAACTTTTTAGCACCACACCGCCAACGATGAATGTGGAATAACTAGAGCTATTGCTACCTAAAAAACTATCTACACGACGATATTTTTACGAAGGGAAATGATTTTGATTTAGTGATATTATACTAATATTTATTTGTTTTCAAAATTATATTTACTTTTTATTTATGATTTTTCTACATGTATATGTTTTCCAAGCTTCCTTTAAGATTTTTAATAGTTTTATAAATAAATTTATTCCAGTGTTTTTTTTTTTCGCTTCTATAATTATTTTTAGAAGAGAAAAACTATCGCCATTATTTTAGGCCAATTGCTTGAGGGCATATGCAGTGGTGGACGTGTGAAACTCGGTCCAGGAATACACATGGGTTGGGTATCCCTTGTCCTTGAAGTGTTAATAAGCCTAATTTTCTAGTCCCTGAGGGAAACTACCAAGCAGTTCTTATTGGGCTGAGAGTGTCCGTGTATAACTCCACATTTCTAACCTAAACCCAAACAATTAATAACTAGTTGGTAAAGTTTTTATTACGACAATTAGTTGGATTTTTTAATAGGTGGAGCATTTTTTTGGGTCAAAAGTTGTGCACTCTCCCAAAAAAAAAAGAAAAGGATTATTTTTGGTCAATTTCCACAAAGAATGGGTTGAGTTGGGTCACGATTTACTATTAGAATTTTCTTGAACCACACAACTCAATCCAACCCAACTAAGATTTTAATTCTTGCTTAAAAAATGTATTGCAAGTAGTTAAAGATTTGCGGAGACCCCAACATCTGTACACAGAGACACGCGAGAATATTAGTATTGTTTTTAATTTTGGGTGATACATATTATAATATCTTGCCATTGAAAATGTAATAGAGTAATGTGCTGTAAGTCATTTGATCTCAAAATATAAAATAAAAAATTGAAACCAGTGACAAATAAGTAACCCTGGTCGTTTGTATGCAATCTTGCTATAGATTGCAGAGTGTGGCATGAATAAACAAATTTAAGAGAAACCAGAGATATATTTGGCTTACCTCTCACCACCCCAATGTGGGCATTTGGTCTAGTGGTATGATTCTCGCTTTGGGTGCGAGAGGTCCCGAGTTCGATTCTCGGAATGCCCCTATTTTTACATATTTATCTGCACATTTATCATTCACAAGTGTGTTTTGTCGATGACTAGCCACAAAGACATGCACGGCTTAACAGCTTGCCTGTATTAGCCTTTACAGTTGAGCTGCAAGCGTTTATTTGCATCTCTCTCCACAAGTTTGCAAACATCAGTCACAACACCAAGAATATGGTGAGTGATCTCAAGTCTAACCACAACATTTGAACTTTACATTATAAACTGAAGTAATATTGCTAAATCAACTATATGATTTCAAATTGAATAAGGAAGGAGGCTGTGAATTGTTGTCCATGATGCCTAGGGCCCAAAAATATAAATCTTTAAAAAAATGTATGAAGACAAATATTTATTCAAATTCATTATACATGTAGCATTAGCAATTGTCTTACATTAAATTTACAACACTCGAGATGTATTTCATAATAACCTACATATCAAATCACATGCTGTCTGATTTGATGAAAAAATGGAAAATAGAAACTAGTATCATACGAACAGAAGTCACTTCAATAAGCTCAATGCGTCTATAATATAACATACAAATAGATTTATAGGGAGAACTTGAGCTTCAGTTCTTTGATTTAGAATGTTTTACAAGCCAATCAACGACTGTATCAATATTGGTGGAGTTTTTCCAAGAGACCATGAAGCAACAAACTTCTCTATCATTGATGGATTTGAGACCCCTGCACATATGAAACAATATTATAAGTCAAGTACATTCTGAGAGCTAAATTGGTTAAATAAAATTACCGGGTGCAGACAGAATAATGCACATTACTTAGTGGGATATTCATAAGGTAGCAGAAGTAAATATGATAACAAATTAGCCAGCTAAAGTCATTTGAAATGGCATGATTTGACTAGTAATTTGTACTTTATCATAATGGAAATGTTTAAGCAAACTTTTGCTTTAGTCAGTATCATACTCAACTTGGCTCGGTACAATTGACCATCTTATACATCTGGATAAATACTTACATTTGCTCGTTAAGTCTTGTTTAGTATTTACGGTGAAAAATGACAGTTTTGTAAACAAATAATTCAAGAACAATCTGGGGACTGGATTAGGTTTTCTTTGGGTTTTTTTAAGTGTGTTATTAACGTAACAATAAAATAGATGTCGCAAATTAAACAATTTAGCAAGAATAGTGAATATAAAAAGTGTAAACTGAACCATAACGTAGAGGTTTTTTGCGGAAAGTGCTAAGTACGAAACTAAATTACAGAAAGGAAATAAGCAACAAACTAGAATTAAAATGCGGAAGGGTAAATGTGCAGGAATGTAAATATGCTGGAATGTAAACGTACGACTCCTCACAACGGCGAACAGCGGCCACCGTGGGTCTCCTTGTAGCTGGTGTCTGGCGCGGTGCAGGGTTTCAGCGTTTCAGATAAGTTAGGTGCGGTGTCTGAGTGTAAAAAGTCGTCTTTCGTAAAATGACACTTTGGGGTATTTATAGGCAGGAAGATCACCACCGTTCTCCTCCTTTTGCGGGTATTTCTTAGTAACTGCCTTCAACTGTTATGTCCATTATTCACGATTGCTTGTGATCGTGCTGTCGGTAACTGTTGGTAACCGCTATCACCCACAATCTTTTCTTTGCATAGTTGAACCTTTGCCCAGTGTTGGTAACTGCTTTTGAACTTGACCTTTCAAGTCAATTTTTCTATCTTTCAAGTTGTTTTGAGAGGATCTTAAAAGGCTCATTTAGTGTTATGGTCTTAGAATAATTTCTCCTTGCCTTCTCTTTTCGACTAATTCTGGAGTTTTGAGAGCTTGTCTTGATCTTGTGAACTTAGAATATTTTCTTTACTCATTCCTATTTTTCAAGCAATTCTGGAGTGAATCTGGAGCTCAACCAGGTTTGTGGACTTAGAATATTCTCTGACCACTTCTTGTTTTTCGAGCAATTTTGGGTGTCAGGAACTTTAAAACTCCTCCAAATTTCTCAAAAAAAAAATCGTTAGTTTTGTGGATTTAGAATATTTTCTTGTCAGTCCTACTTTTTCGAGCAGTTTTAGGTGTCAGTGGCTTGAAAAACTCTTCAAAACTTCTCGGAAAGCCTTCAGTTTGGTGGACTTAGTATATTTTCTTATTAGTCCTGCTTTTCGAGCAGTTTCAGAGAAAAAATCAACAAAGTGACAAAAACTTCTAAAATAACTTGAAATGTGTCCTTTTTGATATGACACAAAAGATCTTGGATAACTTTTTAATACTTCTTAGACTTATTTTTTGGCTCCTTCTTGACTCTCAAAATTCCGTCGAAATGTGGCTTGCTTCAATATGATTTTTTAACTTAGAAAATTTTTCTTATCCTAAACACTTAGACAAAGCCTTTGGTTTGTCAATCTTGTTACCCAGAATAAGCACAGGAATCCCATTTAAAGAAGGTTTACTCAACAAGTCATGAAGTTCACTTTTAGAGTCAGGTAAGTTGTCATGATCAGCTGCATCAACAATATAATTGCAGCTCCCACCATAAAAAATTGATAATATTCATAATCTAAGATTTTGATCATATAGATAAAAACTAAAATGAAAATTACACAACAATACAGGAAAACAAAAAGTATAAAGTTGAAATTTGTGATGCCTTGGATGGAAACAATAAAGACTCAATTACACTTTAGGCAATCTTAGTTTCACTAAAATTCAATTTTGGTACTCCTTTCAATTTTAATCATATTATCCTAATAGTTTTCATTTTTCACATTGATGCAATTAATTCCTTCTGCGATGGTGATGTGGTAAATGATCAAGTGATGTGTCACTCTATTTTATATACTCTGCTGGCTGGAAAAGAACATGGCGCAATGCCACATGGCAGAGAGCGGGAGTTCATGCTGATCTCAATAAATCTCTCAGTCAAAGAGCTGCAAGGTGAGGTTTGCAGCAAGATTGTTCATGGGAACTTATTTAGAAGTTTAAATTGAACGATCATTCATAGATTTCAGTATGGGAAAAATATATACTAATTTCATGTTAAACAAAGTATCATACTTCATCTTTTTCTAATTACAAATTTTTGTGGGATTACTTTTTCAGTTGTCAAATTTGAAGTTTCTCATTCTTATTTCTTTAAAAGTGAAAAAAAAAAACATATTATAGCAGAAAATATTGAACCAAATGAGACAAAAGGCAGTGTTTTGACATATTTTGGTAAGAAGGGCATATGAAATTTTTTTGTAGTAAAGAAAGGACAGTAATTCAGTCACTGATGCAATGATTGAGTGTTTCGCAGTGTTAGAGGGAATAACAATAGCTGAAACAGCACAGCATTATCGCTCCCACATACTGCGAAACCTTGGTTGACCTCCAAGGTCCCATAACTTTACAGTCACGTTCCCTTTGGTTACCTTTTTCATATTAAATCCTACCTGTAGACAAAAACTTCAGCAATTAACTTGGCAGAGAAATAATTAAGCAAAAAATTGTGGAAATAGAACAACACATCTAGGATGTAGCACGACATCCCCCAGTTGTACAGTTACAGTGATTAAAGAAAGATAGTGTACCGTGGGAATCATGTCCTCACTATATCCACCAGTCTTCAGCAAAAGGAACCAAACATAATTAAACCAGGCATCAGCAAGGTAGGAAAGGAAGAAATAAAATGGAAAATTAATCATGTAGGTCTAGTTACATACTGCAATAACATTTACAAGTGATGTTTTCCCAGCATTCTGAAGACCAATCAAAGACAACTCCATTTCATGCTTGAAAAAGAGACTACCGTTGGGCAAGAGAAAGAAACAAATTAAATAATGATGATGATAATAATAATAATAATAATAACCACACCATAAAGGTCACTCAATCCTGTTGAATGAAATATCACAGAAACAAAAGGAGCATTTCAGTTGATCATCACATCACCAATCTCTCAGAAACACTAAGGTAAGGACTTGGCCCCAATTAAACCCTTCACAAGTATTGAAATAATTGGAC